ACCTTTGGGAGCCTGAGCTGGAACTGTAGCTGGAGCTGCAGCCTGGCCTTGATTTGATCCTTGGCCTTGGCCGGCAGAGCCTGAGCCCCTTGGCAATGTGGGGCACGAGCACACTTCCCAAGCTCGGGGTGGGCAATGTAGGCAAGTCAATCGAGCTTACAGCTGACACCCTTTGGGATCTTGGGCTTAACCTCCTTGGGCTTTACGAGGGCCTCGATGGCCTCGGCATGTGCACTCATGGCCTTGGCTTTAGGCCTTCTTGTGGTGCTTCTTGGCAAGGAGAACTTGTTCCTCAGGAACTTGGGGTCCACCCCCTTAAGAAAGTTGTATCTTTGTGATCGGGGTTTCTTTATACCATTTCTGTGCCATTTTTGGGACTGGTTGTGTGTGGTGTGGTTCTTGAACTTGGCCGTGACTGCACCTAAACTGCGATTCCCTAAGGGTGCCTCTTTTTTGAGACAGAGTTTCGCTCTTATTGCCCAGGCTGAAGTGCAATGGCACAATCTCAGCTCACCACAACCTCCGCCTCCTGGGTTCAAGCGATTCTCCTATCTCAGCCTCCCTTGTAGCTGGGATTACAGGCGTGCACCACCACACTTGGCTAATTTTGTGTATTTTTAGTGGAGACATGGTTTCTTCATGTTGGTCAGGCTGGTCTCAAACTCCCAACCTCAGGTGATCCACCCCCCTTGGCCTTCCATAGTGCTGGGATTACAGGCATGAGCCACCACATCCAGCCTTTATTTTTCTTTTGAGACAGGGTCTCACTCTGTCACCCAGACTGGAGTGTAGTGGCTCGATCTTGGCTTACTAAAACCACTCCTTCCCAGGCTCAAGCTATTCTCCTCAGCTTCCCGAGTACCTGAGACCACAGGTGTGAACCACTATGCCAGGCCAATTTTATTTTATTTTATTTTTTTGAGACGTTGTCTCTATCGCCAGGCTGGAGTACAGTGGCACAATCTTGGCTCATTGCAACCTCTACCGCTCAGTTTCAAGTGATTCTCCTGCCTCAGCCTCCCAAGTAGCTGGGATTACAGGCACACACCACCATACCCAGCTAATTTTTGTATCTTTAGTAGAGATGGGATTTCACCATTTTGGTTAGGCTGGTCTTGAACTACTGACTTTGTGACCTGCCTGCCTCAGCCTCCCAAAGTGCTGGGATTATAGACGTGAGCCATGGCACCTGGCCTAATTTCTGTATTTTTAGTAGATGCAGGCTTTTGCTATGTTACCCAGGCTGATCTTGAATTCCTGTCCTCAAGTGATCCACTTGCCTCACCTCCCAAAGTGCTGAGATTACAAGGATGAGCCATTGACATTCATTCTTCTAAAAAAAAAAATTCTTTTGAGACAGAGTCTCATTCTGTCACCCAGGCCAGAGTGTAGTGGTGTGGTCTTGGCTCACAGCAACCTCGACCTCCTGGGTTCAAGCAATTCTCATGCCTCAGTCTCCAGAGTAGCTAGAATTACAGGTGTGTACCACCACACCAGGCTAATTTTTGTATTTTTTTTTTTTTGAGACGGAGTTTCGCACGCAATCTCAGCTCACTGCAGCTCACCGCAACCTCCGCCTCCTGGGTTCAGGCAATTCTCCTGCGTCAGCTTCCTGAGTAGCTGGGATTACAGGCACGTGCCACCATGCCCAGCTAATTTTTTGTATTTTTAGTAGAGACGGGGTTTCACCATGCTGACCAGGATGGTCTCGATCTGACCTTGTGATCCACACGCCTCGGCCTCCCAAAGTGCTAGGATTACATTGAGATGGAGTTTTGCTTTTGTCGCCCAGGCTGAAGTGCAATAGTGTGATCTCAGCTCACTGCAACCTCTGCCTTCTGGTTTCAAGTGATTCTCCTGCCTTAGCCTCCCGAATAGATGGTATTACAGGTGCCTGCCACCATGCCTGGCTAAATTTTTGTATTTTTAGTAGAGACGGGGTTTCACCATGTTGGTCAGGCTGATCTTGAACTCCTGACCTCTGGTAATCCACCGACATTGGCCTCCCAAAGTGCTAGGATTACAGGTGTGAGCCTTCACATCTGGCCTCATTTTGTATTTTTAGTAGAGATGGTGTTTCACCATGTTAGCCAGGCTGGTCTCGAATTCCTGACCTCAGGTGACCACTTGCCTCAGCCTTCCAAAGTGCTGGGATTATAGGCATGAGCCACTGTGCCTGGCCTAAGAGCTTATTTATTTATTTATTTATTTGTTTTATTATTATTATTTTTTTTGAGAAGGTGTTTCGCTCTTGTTACCCAGGCTGAAGTACAATGGTGTGATCTCGGCTCACTGCAACCTCTGCCTCCTGGGTTCAGGCAATTCTCCTGCCTCAGCCTCCTGAGTAGCTGGGATTACAGGCACACACCACCTCGCCCAGCTAATTTTTTGTATTTTTAGTAGAGACGGGGTTTCACCATGTTGACCAGGATGGTCTCGATCTCTTGACTTCGTGATCCACCCACCTTGGCCTCCCAAAGTGCTGGGATTACAGGCGTGAGCCACCGCGCCCGGCCTATTTATTTATTTTGAAGATGGAGTTTCCCTCTTGTTGCCCAGGCTGGAGTGCAGTAGAATGATTTCAGCTCCCTGCAACCTCCACCTCCCAGGTTTAAGTAATTCTCCTGCCTCAGCCTCCCTAGTAGCTGGGATTATAGGTGTTTAGCACCATTCCTGGCTAATTTTGTATTTTTATTATTTTTATTTATTTATTTTGAGACAGACACTCGCTCTGTCGCCTAGGCTGGAGTGCAGTAGCACAATCTCAGCTCACTGCAACTTCTGCCTCTTGGGTTCAAGCAATTCTCTTGCCTCCTCCTGAGGATTCTCTTGTAGTCCCTCCTGAGTAGCTGGGACTACAGGCACGTGCCACCACACCCAGACTGGTCTTGAATTCCTGACCACAAGTGATCTGCCTGCCTTGTCCTCCCAAAGTGCTGGGATTACAGGCATGAGCCACCATCCGTGGCCTAATTTTGTATTTTTGGTAGAGACGGGGTTTCCCCATGTTAGCCAAGCTGGTCTTGAACTCCTGACCTCAGGTGATCCAACCACCTTAGCCTCCCAAAGTGCTGGGATTACAGGCATGAGTCACGATGCCCGACCATCTCGTGTGTTCTTTGAGGATAAGGTGGCAGTAAGTGTGTTAGGTTGAGTTGGCCCTCAGGCCTGCGCCTTCCCTGTCCCCATCTTTAGCCCAAGGGACAGCATGGTAGAACCCAGTGGCCCCAGTTCATCAACTTGCCATGGAACCAGTTAGTGGCTCTGGTCCTCCTGCCCCAGGTGCTTCTGGTCATTTCCAGTGACAGTGGGGAAGGCAGTATCCTTTCCTTATTCTCTCTGTCTCTCTTTTTTTTTTTAACCTGGGTATTCTGGAAGTGTCTTTCCTCTGACAGCGTTGTTAGACATGGGGTAACAAAAGGACATCAAAGAGAAGAAGGATAAAGACTACCACTCATTCCCGTCCTTCCAGAGGGGCAGCCTGGGAAGAGGTGACTTTGAGCCATGATGTGACCTTAGATGACGGGGTGCCTCTGAGCCTTAGGAGGCTCTTCTGTAAAATGGGGCAAATAGGCTGGGTACAGTGGCTCACACCTGTAGTCTCCCAGCGCCTTGGGAGGCCGAGGCGGGTGGATCACCTGAGGTCAGGAGTTCGAGACCAGCCTGACCAACATGGAGAAACCCCATCTCTACTAAAAATACAAAATTAGCTGGGCATGGTGGCACATGCCTGTAATTCCAGCTTCTAGGGAGGCTGAGGCAGGAGAATCGCTTGAACCCGGGAGATGAAGGTTGCAGTAAGCTGAAATCACCTCATTGCACTCCAGCCTGAGCAACAAGAACAAAAGCAAAATTTCGTCTCAAAAAAAAAATGTGGCAAATAAAGAAATGCCCACTGTGTGCAGTGGCTTATGCCTGTAATCCCAGCACTTCAGAAGACCAAGGCAGGAGAATCACTTGAGCTCAGGAGTTTCAGACCAGCTTGGGCAAGATAGTGGGACCCCAACTCTACAGAAAAATGTAAAAATTAACCAGGCACCAGGTGTGGTGGCTCAGTCCTGTAATCCCAGCACTTTGGGAGGCTAAGGCAGGTGGATTGCTTGAGCCCAGGAGTTTGAGACTAGCCTGGGTAACATAGTGAGATCCTGTCTCTACACACACACAAAATGAGCCAGACATGGTGGTGCACAGCAGTAGTCCCAGCTACTTGGGAGGCTGAGGTGAGAGAATCATTTGAGCCCTGGAGCTCAAGGCTGCAGTGAGCTGTGATTGTGCCACTGCACTCCAGGCTGGGCAACAGAACAAGACTCTGTTTCAAAAAAAGGAAAAGAAATGCCCTCCCAAGGTGTTCCCTCAGGAATTGACTCAGGAAAGTGGTGAGCTGTGAAAGTTATCTGAAGTAAGATCCTCAGCTGACTACCCATCCTTCACAAAGGGCTCAGCAGCACACAGCCTCCCTGCAGGGATGCCCTCGGGGAAGATGTGGACCAGAGGAGTCTTTTGGGCCCTGCTCCTCAGTCCTGGCTCTTAGCAGGATCCTCTGCAGCCAGACTAGCACACCCTGAGCCAGACTGACCTCAAAGAGTAAGCATGCAGGGCTTATGGACCCTGGGCAAAGCAGAGAGGCTGGTATCAGATGAGGTGCAGCAGGTATAGTAGGATAAGGTATTCTCAGGTCCTCAGTGCAGCCCCCAGATGAGCCTGCAGTATTTTTCTTTTTCTTTTTCTTTTTTTTTTTTTTGAGATGGAGTTTCGCTCTTGTTACCCAGGCTGGAGTGCAACGGCGTGATCTCTGCTCACCGCAACCTCCGCCTCCCGGGTTCAGGCAATTCTACTGCCCTAGCCTCCCGATTAGCTGGGATTACAGGCATGCACCACCATGCCCAGGTAATTTTTTGTATTTTTAGTAGAGACGGGGTTTCACCATGTTGACCAGGATAGTCTCGATCTCTTGACCTCGTGATCCACCTGCCTCGGCCTCCCAAAGTGCTGGGATTAAAGGCTTGAGCCACCGCGCCCGGCTGAGCCTGCAGTATTTTTCTTATATAATCAGGTCCTACTGTGGGCAGTGCTGCTTGCCCAGAGCCTGAGAGGATTATGAAATCATGGCAAGGGTAGTGAGGCAAGGGGACCCAGCACGGGGGCATGAGGAGCAGAAGACAGCAGGTGAGGCTAGAGGAGAGGGAGGTTTAGGGAGGCCTCTGCTGCTGTGACTGTGAGCCCCGGCCAATGATGACATGGCCACTGCACAATCTGAGTTCTGGGAACCATGTGATGAATTGTGTTCTGGGAATAGACTGTAGCCGGGAAAATAAAAAAGCAGAAGGGTGTACCCTCCGTTCCCTGGCCAGGAAAACATTTCTCTAGCCTTTGCAGACCCACTGCACAGAAGTGAGAGGTAGGAAAGCCAGGCTCATGCTTTCCTAGGTTGTGCTTCAACTTCTAAAATATGTTGTTTGTTTGTTTGTTTTTTGAGACAGAGTTTCACTGTTGTTACCCAGGCTGGAGTGCAATGGCACGATCTCGGCTCACTGCAACCTCTGCCTCCTGGGTTCAAGCAATTCTCCTGCCTCAGCCTCCCGAGTAGCTAGGACTACAGGCTTATACCACCATGCCCAGCTAAGTTTTTAAATATTTTTAGTAGAGATGGGTTTCACCTTGTTGACCAGGATGGTCTTGATCTCTTGACCTCGTGACCCACCTGCCTCGGCCTCCCAAAGTGCTGGGATTATAGGCGTGAGCCACCGTGCCCGGCCTAAAATATGTTTTCTCTATGAACGTTTTAATGAGTGGTTGAACATAAGACCGAAAAAAATAACATTCTGAGAGCTTGTTTGGAGGCTCTGGCAGAGAGCCAATACACTTTTTTTCTTTTCTTTTCTTTTTAAAGGCAGGGTTTCACCGTGTTGGTCAGGCTGGTCTTGAACTCCCCACCTCAGGTGATCCTCCCACCTTGGCCTCCAAAGTGCTTGGATTACAGGCGTGAGCCACCACGCCCAGTCTCAAATACCCTGGACTGAAGACCGGTCCTCCTCTACTGGGGATGGTCATTCTCTTCCACCAAGTGCACAGATTCAGGAGGGACACACATGGAGCAGTGAGGGAGGAAGGGGATACCTGCCTAGTCAGCCAGATCAGCCAAATCAACCCTGGTGATCAATGAGGGTGGGTGACAGATGTCGCAGCCAGATCACCCTCACATCTAAAAAATAACATTCTGATTCCTTTTTTTTTTTTAAAGATGTAGACTTTTCTTGAGACTTTCACACAAGACAATGGATGGATAACCTTAACCTCCTAGAGAAAACACACATTGGTCACAGAAAAAGGCACTTATCCAAATACCTGCCATAGTGATCAGCAGCTTTGAAACAGCCTCTCAAACTCTCAGGGGTTGGCTGGTTTTGTTTTCTTTTGAAAATAACTCAGACTTAAGTCTGCTACTTTCAGAGCCTTGGAGACACTTAAGGACTACCATCAGCTTATCATGGTGGCGCTTGGAGCACATGCTACTTATGGTGGCGAGGAGGGGTGCTGGTGTGAGGGTCTGCAAGCTTGCTTCTCCTCTGGCAGGGTGTGAGCAGCCTGAGGCCACTACCTGGGCAAGGATGCTTGCTCAGTGTCCATGGAGGGACATGTGATCCAGCAGGTGGGCTGGGACCAGGCCCCTGTGGCCGCCCGACTCTCCATAATAGAGTCCCTGTTCATCCATAGGCCCGTAAACCATGACTACATCTCCTGCCCTCAGCGCCAGCCTGCCCTTCACCTGGCCCCCTGTTTGCCCATCCCTGGGATCATAGTCCAGAGCTGCTATCATGGTCTTTGGAGTCCACAGTGGGGGTCTCTTGGAGTTCTGTTGGAGCATCGGGGAGGAACCCTGGGGGATGGTGAGCCCCATCCCCCAGTCTTCAAGGTGGGCCATAGAAGGCAGGTGTCCTTGGGCCGGCAAATGCCACCTCCTGTCAGTCTGCTCTGTGCTCACCTCCATCTCAGCCACTAGGTGCGCGGGGATATTGCCCACTTGCCCGTTGCACTCACCAAGGTAGAAGCCATGGGTGTCTTGAGAGCCCCACACTCTTAGCAACTGCCCTTTCTGGAAGTCCAACTCCTCTTCTGCAGCCTTGGGGTTGGCAGACATCACCAGAGGGTTGTAATCAGAGAGGGCTACACAGACCCTGGCTGGAGTGTTGGCCCCTGTCCCCAGTTGTTGGGGGCCACCCCTGGGCATCTTGATGACTTTGCTGGATGGAGCTGGACACAGTGCCAAGCTGGACTCATGCAGCTGGCACTCTCTCTTGCCCCCCAGAGCCTTTCCATGTCTGCTCTGGGGCCTGGGCTCCCTCTTCTTCTCTTGCCTCTCCGTGCCCCACAGATCCAAGCACAGTGCCTCCTGCTCCTCCTCCCAAATGTTATGGAAGTCAGATGTGTACTGTTGGCTGGCGCCCAGCTGGGGAGGTGTGAGCCCTTGGGCATGTTGCTTTTGCCTAAGGACCCTCTCAAAGGCAGCCTTTTCCTGACTTGGTTCCTTCCTGGCCCCACACTCAGTGGGTAGATGGATGAATACTGGCGCAGGGCTTTTGCTGGTGCCCATGTGCCGGCAGCAATTTTCCTTCTCCCCAGGCTGGTCACTGAGCGAAGGTAGCCTATGGTTCTGGGGACTTTTCTGAAAAAGCAGGTCCTTTCTACAGCCCTCCCAGGCCTCTGCAAGCTCCTGAACTTGGCTGCCAGCCCCTGAACTTGAACATTCTTCTTCTGAGCCCAGGTTGGACACTGGGGATTGCCTTCTAGGGGATTCTTCAAGGAATGCTTCTAGGAACTTAGCGTGGGGCTCCCCACAGCTTCCAGGGTTGTGGGGGCTGGCTTTGGCACTCAGAGGAGCCAGTGCCAGCTTCTGGGGGCAGACGGGGAAGGTGACTCTGTAGGTGGATGGGTCTCCACAAATGTAGCTAAAGGGAGGTGTCTCTGGCCATCGATGATACATGAAGCAGTCCTCAGGGATCTGAGCCGGCACTGAATCCAGGGACTCGCCACAGAGTGACATGGTTCTCACTGAGATCTTCTGCCACATTAGGGGCACCTGTAGTTGGGAGAACTTCAACAGGGTGCTCCCAGCAGTGGCATCGGCGACCTCGCAAACCTTGAGCCCATCTGCATACACAGCATAACCGGTGACCTGGACTCCATTGGAGGACCCAGCTGAGTCAATGGTCACAGGGAGCCAGCTGATCACCAGGACACCTGGAGAGGCATGGCGCTCCACCAGCACATCCAGTGGTGGGTGGGGAGGTCCTGCCAAGAGTGTGTCGAAGGTGATGGTGGAGGACATTGTTCCCCAGTACACCTGCAGCAAGTCCCACGGCAGCCGCACCTCCACCCGTGCCTGGTAGTGTGTGCCGGGGCACAGACCCTGGAAGGTGTAGCAGCTCACACCCGCTGGGGTCAGGGCATGCTCTTGGTCATCAAGATACACCATGTGGGGGTGGTGGCAGCTGCTATAGACCCAGGTGATCTTGGCCAATGTGGCTGTGACATTCTGCAGGTGTAGCTGCATGGGGGCCAAACAGAGAACCCCTTTGGTGCCCAGAAGGGGTCTGGAGAGGCCCTGCTTCCCCACCCTCTGCGGCAAGCCCAGCTGGCAGGCTTCCATCTTGGTATCCAGGACATCTGTTGCTGCTTCTGTCTTGGAGCCCACACTTCCCATCTGGCACAGCCCTCCGTCCACCACTCCCTGGGGTTCCCCAGGTAATAAGCTGTCTTCCTCTAGAGCTTCATCCTGCCCAGCTGGAAGTTGATTGGGGCCAAGGTCAGGGGATTTGGCAGGCAGGCAGCTTGGGATGTAGCTGTCTGGAATCTGCTCCACCAAGTTGGAGGGCACCAGCCCCCGTCGGCCATCCTCAAGCTCCCCCTCATAGAAACCATCCTCATCCATGTCTCCAAAGATGTATACATAGTCCCCAGCTGTGAGGGGCAGCTCACCTTCGGGGTGATCATTGGGCCCCTCAAATGGGTTGTAGTTATACTGAGCCATGAAGATCTTGAGCTTGGGGGTAGCAGGAGCCACCAGGCTCCCCACTTCCAGGGCCAGGGACACACTGTCACACTGGAGGTCATCCACCTCAGTGGCTGTGTCCCCATCCAGAGTAGGGCAGGATGGCACGGTGGCCCACATCGACCCCTCAGAGGAGGAGTTTGACTGGGAGCTAGTTTTCTTGGACAGAGGTCGGCTGGCAAGGACTGTCTCTGAAACTTGGGGGACACTGGCTGGCTCCCCAAGGGCAACTGGGCTCTCCTCGAGGGAGGCTTCCCTTTTCTCCTGTATGCCTCTGCTGGGCTGTGACCGTGAGTACTCTTCAGGCCGTGGCTGGAACTTGGGCCTTCTGCTACCCTTAACTTGGGACTCCGGCATTTGACTGGTCTCCTGGGGCTGTTGGGGAGGGTGATCAGGGTGACACTGCAGCGCTTGCATCTCCTTCCGGGAAGCATGGAGGTCACACTGGCCCTTCTGGGGGTCGTGTTGCAGCTGCTGCTGGCTGTCCTGCCCACGCACCGCCTCCTGCAGCAGCTGCTCAGCCATCAAGCCGGCGGCATCGCGCTCTTGACACGCGCGGCCCAGGTGGCCGCGTACTTCGCTGTTCTCAGTCTCCACCTTCCGCACCCAGTCGGCCTTGGCCTGCAGCCGACCATTCTCCTCCGCCAGCCAGGCGTTTTTGAGCAGCGCCGCCTGCAGCTGTGCCTCCGCCTCCTCGCCGCGCCGCCGCGCCGCTGCCGCTTGGGCGCCCAGCTCCTCGCACTCGCGCCGCCGCTCGTCCAGCTGGCGCTCCAACGCCAGCATCTGCTGCCGCATCTCCTCACAGGTTGCGCTCTGGCCGCCCGCCTCGGGCCGGGCGCCACCGTAGCCCTGTGGAAGCGTCAACTGCCTCTGTAGGCGCAGCACTTCCCGCTGGGACTCGCGCTGCAGGCGGTCCAAGTCGCTAATGTTGAGCCACTGTGTACAGGGACTTTCCCTTCCAGGATGCGGGTCTCTGCAGGGGCCGGAGGCCATACGCGCCTGCAGGAGGTGGCACTCCTGCCGCAGCTCTTCGATTTGCTTGTCCTTGGCCAGCAGCGCGCTCGCCTGCTCCGACAGGTCCTGGGCGCGCTGGCTGGCAAAGGCCTGGCATAGCTCCAGGCCGACGCAACTCTCGCTGGGCACAGGAGCGCTCACTGCCCGAAGGTTGGTCTCCTGCAGCTTACGGGCCCCGTCCGCCAGGCGCTGCGCGAGCCCGGTCAGCTCCGCGCGCTTCACCTTGAGCCGCTTCACCTTCTCGTCTGCCTGGTAGAGGAAGCCTGCACGCCGCAGCTGCTTGTTCTCCTCGTGCAGGATAGAACAGCGGCACGCCAGCACCCGCAATGCCTTGGCCAGCAGCCAGTTCAGCCTTATCAGCGCTTGGTGGCCCAGGCCCGGGAATGAGGGAGTCAGGACTTCGCAGGGCTTGCTCTCGGGGCCTTCTCCTCTCCGAGGGTTGCTGAGTTTCCCGTGGACTGATGGTGGTGGTGATGGCGGCAGGAGTGGCAACGGCGGCGGCGGGAGACTCCGGAAGCCAGGGGTGGAGATGTCTGGTGAGGAGGGCCGCTCCTCGGATTTGGAGGCCTTGGGGAGACTCCGGGTGCTGTCAAGAGAGCGGGAACGCGGTGGTGTGAAGGAATCAAGGGAGCTGGCGCGCGTGGACAGCAGACCATCTAGGGAGCTGGAGCATGCAGAGGACACCAGGTCTAGAGAGCCAGAGCAGACACGGACTCTGGCACTCAGGCTATCAAGAGATCCGAGTCGACTGGCGGGGTTGGGGGCATAGCAAGAGCCGCTCGAGGTCTGGGGCAGCAGGTCTTCCAAGGAATGCACAGCCTGGGTGTCTGGGGATCCCGATACAGCGGGATGCCCGCGGAAGTGCTCCAGGATGTACTTGAGGAAGAGCTGGCGCTCCACCTCGAGAGCCGCCTGCAGATAGCGGATGCGCGCCGCCTGCTCGCCGTCAGTCTCCCAGCGAAGCTGCGCCAACACTTCCTGCAGGCGACAGCGGCACTGCGCGGCGGAGACCTCGGACGCCCCCGGGCGGCTGCAGTGGCCGCGGTTCACTAGCTCCTCGGCCAGCTGGCGCTGCAGCTCCCGGGCTTGGCGCACCACGCCATCACGCTCGCGGTGCAGCAGTTGCTGCAGCTGCCGCAATTCGGCCTCCTTCCAGCGCAGCAGCTGCCGGATCTCCGCCTCTCGCTCCTGCTGCATCTCCTCCTGCAGCTGCCGCAGCTCCCGGCAACGCTGTGCCTCCCACTTGGAGCGCAGATGGTCAGCCAGCTGCTGCCGCTCCCGCTCTGCCGCCTCCCGCAGCTGACGCTCCTGCGCAGCGAAGCGCCGCCGTTCTGCCCGCCAGCCCGCTCGCTCCGCCTCCAGCTCCGCCCGTAGCTTCTCCAGCTCCCGCCTCTGGTTCTCCAGCACTGCTGCCGCCGGGCTGGGGCAGCCCGGCTTCTTGGACGATGCGCCCAAGGGGCCCGGCGAGTCCTTGGCCATTGCGGCCGCGGCCCGGCTGGACTCCCGACTTCTCCTGGCAAGCCACAGGTTGCCAACTGCCGCCGCCCGGCAGCGGCCAACCGCCCGGCACGCTTCTTCCGGCCGCCTCCTTGGGTCTCCACGTGCCCCTTCCGCCTCTTGGCGTGTTCCCCCGAGTCCTGCCGCGAATGTCTGGCCCACGCGCCTCTACACCTGGCAAGGCCAGGGGTGGACTCCCACATCCCTGCTTAAACTGACCCGTATCCCTTCCGGGATGCACCACAACTTTTCTGGTCCCTACGTTTTTCTTGCTTCTAACACCATGTCCCTTGTGACCCTCCCCAGGCACCCTCCCAGGCACTGTGTAGTCTCCAGCAGACCAAGGTGCCCTGAGGGAAGTCTGGGCAGTTGCTCCTGGGCTTGGAGAAAGGGGCAGGGTATGTGTGTCAAGGCCCCTCCATGCGGTGTGGGCATACCTGGCTGCGAGTTCAGGTGGTGTATTTGGGTCAGGTGGATGGAAAATGCAGCAGGATATGCCTAAACATGGCTAGACCTGGACTCCTCAGGACCCTTCAGCCCCTATAACAGCCCTGATCACACAACTGGTCATCCATCTTTTGGGGAAAGCATGTGCCTGATACACATTTGTGTTTCTGCCCAGAGTCGACTCAGAGGAGGTATAGGTGAAAAGACTCTCCCCAGCAAAGTGGCATAGGGACACAGGGCCAGATAGGCAAAAAGGGCACGAGGGACACTGGCCTGCCTACCTCCCACATTTGGGTGCCAGCTGGTGACAAACGCTGGAGCCCCAGTATCTGGGCTACTCAATGGCATCTTAGGCAGAGGCCCAGCCTGAGGCTTCAGCAGAAATATTTGGGGCATCCTGAGCTTCAGAAGAAACACACACACACACACACACACACACACACACACACACACACACAGAGTCTCTCTGGCCACCTGTGTGGCTTGCAAGCGAAGGAGCTGAGGGACCTGTGGGGATCGCTCCTGTGTGAGGCCCCTAGGAAATGGGCCTCGCCATACCGTGAGCTTGAGCCCGGACACAGATCCCTGGTTGGGGGAGTCGAGCTGAGGGAAAGCAGGAATCGAGAGAGAGACTATGTTATTCTAATAATTAACAGACATTACTTTATGAATATGAGAACTTGGGAGGCATTGTGTCTACTTTTGGCTCCTTATGGTTTATTCCTTGATTGTGTTCATTTTGGACCCTTGTTACCTTCATTGTAAAATATTAACTTAAGTATTTACACTTGGTAACTTACTGTAACTTACTGGGTGTAACTGTAACTTACCATAACTTACTGGGCGTGACTGTAACTTACTTACCTTGACCTATTGGGCATAACCTACTTACTGGACGTAACCTACTTACTGGGCGTAACTGTAACTTGCTTAGAATTGTTAAGTACTTACTGGGCGTAATTTACTTGCTGGGCTTAACTTACCGTAACTTACTGGGCGTAACTGACTTACTGGGCGTAACATAGTGGGCGTAACTTGCTTACTGTAACTTAAGTATGTTGATCTGGTGTAAACAACATTAACTTCAGAAAAGTATATAATGGAACATATTGCAAAAATAAAATTGCTGCATGGGCATAGCGCATGTAGCCCTCTAGACCTCGCTCCTTTCTATCTCCTTTTTTTTCGGTGCACGCTCTCTTCCAGGTTTGGGACCCTCTTGCTGGACGAGATTCCTGGGCTCGCGTTCAGTTCACAACAAGGAGCCCTGCTTCAATCTGGCTCCTCTTTACCCTTCTTGCCTGCTCCTGGTGCGAAGTGGCTCTTGGGAGAAATTGATGGACGCCTAATACCTGGCCATCTGCATCAAGACTTGATATTGAAGTCACATCAGAGGCCCCTTTGCTTTTTGGTCTGTGGTGTCTCCCTGTCCCCAGGAAGCACCTGGGACTTTTCACAACTGCTGTGTTCACTCAGCTTGTGGCCCTCTGGCTTCACCTTCACAACGCCCAAGTTTTTCAACTCAGGTTCCCCTGAACCCACAGGAAATGCCTTTAGGGGGTGGCAAGTAACAAGAACATCAGGAATTATGACTGCAGATGTTCTTTTTGAGAGGTGAGGCAGATGTAGTGTATGTGTGAGAGGGAGGAAAGGTGAGATGCAGGGATGGCCTTAGCTTTGAACTGGTGCTGGGCTCCTGGACATGGTAGCCACAGGGAATCCTCAGCACAGCTCTGTTTTATGGAAGAAAATATGAGGTTTGGTGGGAGCCACTGGCTTCCCAGGGCATATGGGCAACTGAGTCAGAGCTGGTGTGTGGGGATCCACAGCCTGGATGCCCTGCTGCAGTCTTCAGTAGAGCTTCAGTTGTCAGGTCAGGAGGGCAGGCTGGGCCGGGCGTGATGGCACAGGCCTGTAATCCCAGCCCTTTAGGTGACCAGGGCGGGAGGATCACTTGAGCCCAAGAGCTTAAGACCTGCCTAAGCAACATAGAGAGATCCCATCTCTACAAAAAAAATAATTAGCTGGGTGTGCTGGTGCATGCCTATAGTCCCAGCTACTCAGGAGGCTAAGATGGGAGGATCACCTGAGCCCGGGAGCTTGAGACTAGTCTAGGCAACAGAGTGAGTGAGACCCAGCTCTAGTTCCAGCTGAGGTGGGATGACTGCTTGTGCTCGAGCCAGCAAGGTGAAGTCAAGGCTGCAATGAGCTGTATGGCACCAATGCACTCCAGCCTGGGCAACAGAGCAAGACGCTGTCTCATAATAATAATTTGTAAAAAGGAGAGCAGGCTGCCACCAAGGAAAAGGACATGGGTGGATGGGTCTCTGGGGACCCCACAGTCACCATCCAGCAGCTGCCCTAAGGTATGACGAAGGCATTTAGGAATGTGGTTGAGTGGATAATTGAAGCTGGGCTTCACCAGGGCTGGACTTCTGCCATCCCTGTTCTCATCATGTGTAGTGATTGTCCAGTGGCCTGCCTGTCACCCCCATCAACTCTGAGCTTGTAGAGAGCAGAAGCCATGTTTTCTTTGGTCTGTATTTTATCCCTGCATGTGACTTAGTGCAGCATTGGTGCCTAAGACAGGTGAGAATGAGTTGCAGCCTGGGAGGCAGGAGTCCCAGCATGAGCTCACCATGCTGCTGTCTTCTACAGGTCCAACTTTCTCACCCATTAAATGAAGGTGATGGTTTTTTCTTTTCCTCTTTTTTTTCTTTTGAGATAAAGTCTTGGGCTGGGCGCGGTGGCTCACACCTATAATCCCAGCACTTTGGGAGGCTGAGGCGGGTGGATCATGAGGTCAAGAGATCGAGACCATCCTGGTCAACAAGGTGAAACCCTGTCTCTACTAAAAATACAAAAATTAGCTGGGCATGGTGGTGCGCGCCTGTAGTCCCAGCTACTCGGGAGGCTGAGGCAGGAGAATTGCTTGAACCCAGAAGGCGGAGGTTGCAGTGCGCCAAGATCGTGCCATTGCACTCCAGTCTGGGTAACAACAGCGAAACTCCATCTCAAAAAAAAAAAAAAGAGAGATGAAGTCTTGCTCTGTCACCCAGGCTGAAGTGCAGTGGCATGATCTCAGCTCACTGTCACCTCAGCCTCCTAGGTTCAAGCAATTCTCCTGCCTAAGCCTCTCAAGCAGCTGAGATTACAGACACCTGCCACCACGCCCAGTTAATTTTCCTATTGTTAGTAGAGACAGGGTTTTGCCACGTTGGCCAGGTTGGTCTCAAACTCCTGACCGTAAGTGATTCACCTGCTTCAGCCTCCCAAAAGTGCTGGGATTACAGGAATAAGACACCACACCCAGCCTGCAAGTGATGATTTTAAACTGGATTCTTTTTTAAATTTTATTTATTTTTAAATTTTTTTGAGACAGAGTTTTGCTTTTGTTACCCAGGCTGGAGTGCAATGGCACGATCTCGGCTCACCACAACCTCCGCCCCCTGGGTTCAAGCAATTCTCCTGCCTCAGCCTCCCGAGTAGCTGGGACTACAGGCACGCGCCACAATGCCCAGCTAATTATATTTTTAGTAGAGACGGGTTTCACCATGTTGACCAGGATGGTCTCAATCTCTTGACCTTGTGATCCACCCGCCTCGGCCACCACGCCCAGCCCTTAAACTGGATTCTTTAGGGCTCCAGGGTTCCTTGGAAATATAGGACTGCTGGGCACCCACCTATAGTCCCAGCTACTTGGGAGGCTGAGGCAGGAGGATTGCTTGGATCCAGGACTTCTGGATTGTAGTGTGCAATGCTGATCAGATGTCTGTGCTAAATTTGGCATATATTGGTGATTTCTTGGAAGCAGGAAACCACCAGCTTTTCTAAGGAGGGGTGAACTGGCTCAGGTTAGAGTAGGAGCAGCTTGGCCAGGTATGGTGGCTCATGCCTGTAATCCCAGCACTTTAGGAGGCCGAAGTGGGTAGATCACAAGGTCAGGAGATTGAGACCAGCCTGGCTAACACAGTGAAACACCATCTCTACTAAAAACACAGAAAATTAGCTGGGCATGTTGGCATTTGCCTGCCTGTAGTCCCAGCTACTCGAGAGGCTGAGGCAGGAGAATCGCTTGAACCTGGGAGACGGAGGCTGCAGTGAGCCGAGATTGTGTCACTGCACTCCAGCCTGGGTGAGAGAGCAAGACTCTGTCTCAAAAAAAAAAGAAAAAAGAGCAGGTTTGCCAGGCACAGTGGCTCATGGCTGTAATCCCAATAATTTGGAAAGCCGAGGCAGGCAGGTCACCTGAGATCAGGAGTTCGAGACCAGCCCGGCCAATATGGTGAAACCCCATCTCTACTAAAAATACAAAAATTAGCTAGGCATTATTATCCCAGCTACTGGGGAGGCTGAGGCAAGAGAAATGCCTGAATCTGAGAAACAGAGGTTGCAGCCACTGATATCATGCCACTGCACTCCAGCCTCAGCGACAGAATGAGACTTTGTCTCAAAAAAAAAAAAAAAAAAAAAGCAGCAGCTCAAAACTCCCGTGCTAATCAGTAGTAGGATCTTGCCTGTGAATAGCCACTGCACTACAGCCTGGGAAACAAGTGATCTGTCTGTCTCAGCCTCCCAAAGTGCTGGGCTTACAGGCATGAGCCAGCACACTCGGCCTCAAAGTGCACTTGATGGGACTGTCATGGTAGTGTGCAAGTGAGGGGACCATGGTGGTGCTAACCCAACCACCTAATATATGCAGGCTCAGACCCATAATACCCTGACCCCCTCTTTGGGCCGGAGGGAGTTGATAGGACAGCACAACACCTAGGAAGCCAGCACACGGATAGCACCTCCACAGGAACTTGATTTATTCCTCTAGCTATGGTCTGTAGGAAAGAGGTTATGGGTTCCTTTCATGGGGCACAGACTCTTCATTGCCAGAGTCATTCTCTGAATCAACTTGGGGTCTGGGAACAGGCTGGAACTTGAGTAAGACAGGTGGGGAGAAGATGGAGGCCTTCACAGCAGAGTCTGGTGTCGCATCAGTGTTAGGGGAATCACTACAGGCCGAGGTCTTGCAGAGGAGACATGCATGACCTGCCTGTAAGGTGGGACACCAGCACATAGGTACACATGGAAAAAACCCCAGGCTGTATGCCCCTCCCAATATATTTCTACTTCTAGAAACCTCTCCCACGGATGTGTTTTCAAGGCTGTTTACTGCACCAATGTCTGTAATTGTAATAAACCTGGAAACAAATGTCTATGAGAGCACAGCTATATGACCCCTGGCACAGCCATGCAGTGGACTATTCTGCAGGTGCTTAAAGGAATGAAGTGGATATCCCAACAAGTAAAGACATCCCAGTGGTTTATTTATGGAAACCACAAATTGCTGAGAAGTACATGCAATGTAGCTCTTACTTGTGTCAAAAATGTAACGTATGTGGCCAGGCGTGGTGGCTCACACCTGTAATCCCAGCACTTTGGAAGGCTGAGGTGGACCAATCACGAAGTCAGGGGTTTGAGACCAGCTCAACCAACATAGTGAAACCTCGTCTCTATATGTTTAAAAAAAAAAATTTAATGTGTGTGTGTGTGTGTGAGTGCGTGCACAAACAAATCATTTGGGAGGGTACAAATGAAACTCTTAGCAGGAGTGGACTCACATTTTACATATTCACTTCTGTATTGCGAACTTTTCTTCATGGAACATGGTCTCCATTTGTAGGCTTTTGAAAACCAATTAAGGCAGGGCATGGTGGCATATACTTGTAATCTCAGCACTTTGGAAGGCTGAGACAGGTGGATTACTTGAGGACAGGAGTTCAAGACCATCCTGGCCAACATGGTGAAACCCTGTCTCAACTAAAAATACAAAAATTAGCCAGGTGTGGCAGCATGCACCTGTGATCCCAGCTCCTTAGGAGGCTGAGGCATGAGAATTGTTTGAATTGGGGAGGTGGAGGTTGTAGTGAGCCAAGATTGTGCCACTGTGCTCCAGTGGTGTGATCTTGGCTCACTGCAACACCTGCCTCCTGGGCAAGTGATTCTCGTGCCTCAGCCTCCCGAGTAGCTGGGATTACAGGTGCACCCCACATCGACTGGCTAATTTTTGTATTTTTGGTAGAGACAGGGTTTCACCATGTTGGCCAGACTGGTCTGGAACTTCTGGCCTCAAGTGATCCACCCTCCTTCACCTCCCAAAGTGCTGGATTATAGATGTGAGCCACCACACCCGGCCAATTAAAGGTACTTTTAAATATTTTATTTCTTTGAGACAGAGTCTTGCTCTGTCGCCCAGGCAGGAGTGCAGTGGCACGATGTCAGCTCTCTGCAACCTCTTCCCCCTGGGTTCAGGCGATTCTCCTGCCTCAGCCTCCTGAGTAGCCGGAACTATAGATTGGTGCCAACACACCCAGCTAATTTTTTGTATTTTTAGTTGAGACAGGGTTTCACTGTGTTAGCCAGGATGGTCTCCAACTCCTGACCTCATGATCTGCCCGCCTCCCAAAGTGCTGGGATTACAGGTGTGAGTCACCATGCTGGACCCCTAATTTTTGTATTTTTTGTAGCAATGAGGTTTCACTATGATACCCAGGCTGGTCTTGAACTCCCAGGTCCAAGTGATCCACCTGCCCCAGCCTCCCAAAGTGTTGGGATTACAGGTGTGAGCCATTGTGCTCGACCTCAATTCTGTTTTTTTTTTTTTTGAGACGGAGTTTCAATCGTTACCCAGGCTGCAGTGCAATGGCACAATCTCGGCTCACCGCAACCTCTGCCTGCTGGGTTCAAGCAATTCTGCCTCAGCCTCCTGAGTAGCTGGGACTACAGGCGCGCACCACCATGCCCAGCTAATTTTTGTATTTTTAGTAGAGATGGGGTTTCACCTTGTTAACCAGGATGGTCTTGATCTCTTGACTCGTGATCCACCTGCCTCGTCCTCCCAAAGTGCTGGGATTACAGGTGTAAGCCACCGTGCCCGGCCGACCTCAATTCTTATGGATACACACATAGGAGTGGAATTGCTGGGGCATATGGCAACTCTGTTTAACATTTTGAGAACCCAATAAACTGATTTCTTTTTCTTTAAGACAGGGTTTCACCATGTTGATCAGGCTGGTCTCGAACTCCTGGCCTCAGGTAATCCACCCACCTTGGCCTCCCAAAATGCTGGGATTATAGGCACAAGCCACTGTGCCTGGCCAAATTGATTTTCATAGCAGCTGCACCATTTTACATTCCCATCAGTCCTGCATAAGGATTTCAATTTCTCCACATCCTCATCAATACTAGTCATTCTTCCACCAAAGCCCATGTAAAGAGCAGAAAGAGGGAGTCCTTAGGAACTGCAAAAAACCATCCTTTGGGGAAAAAACAGGAAATTATACTAAAAAGAACTTTTCACTGTCCTTTTTTTCTTTTTTGCAATGGAGTTTCACTTGTTGCCCAGGCTGGAGTGCAATGGCACTGTCTTGGCTCACTGCAACTTTCACCTCTCAGGTTCCAGCGATTCTCCAGCCTCAGCCTCCTGACTAGCTGGGATTACAAGTGTGCACCACCAAGCCTGGCTAATTTTGTATTTTTAGTAGAGACGGGATTTCATCATGTTGGTCAGGCTGGTCTTGAACTCCTGACCTCATGATCCACCCTCCTCGGCCTCCCAAGTGCTGGGATTACAGGTGTGAGCCACTGCACCCAGCCTCACTGTCCTTTTTTACTGTGGCCATCAGAGTCAATGAGAAATGGTATCTCACTGTGACATTGACAAGCATCTTCCTAATGACTAATGATCTTGATCATCTTTTCCTGTTATTGGCTATTTGCATATTTTCTTTAAAGAAATAGCTATTCAAGTCTTGTGCCCATTTTTTTTTTTTTTTTTTTTGAGACGGAGTCTCGCTCTGTTGCCCAGGCTGGAGTGCAATGGCTCAATCTTGTCTCACTGCAACCTCTGCCTCCCAGGTTCAAGTGATTCTCTTGCCTCAGCCTCTTGAATAGCTGGTACTACAGACATGTGCCCCCACATCCAGCTAATTTTTTGTATTTTTAATAGAGACAGCGTTTCACCATGTTGCACAGATGGTCTTGAACTCCTGACCTCAAGTGATCTGACTGCCTCAGCCTCCCAAAGTGCTGGGATTGCAGGCATGAGCCACCACACCTGGCCTAATTTTGTATTTTTAATAGAGATGGGATTTCACCATGTTAGCCAAGCTGTTCTTGAACTCCTGACCTCAGATGATCCACCCATCTCAGCCTCCCAAAGTGCTGCGATTACAGGCCTGAGCTACTGCATCTGGCCATGCCCATTTTTTAATTGCGTTGCTTTTTTGTTGAGGTTTTTTTGCAATAATTTTATGCCATTGTAGGTTGCCTTTTTACTATTCCTTTTAGGTAATAATGTTCTAAAATTGAATTGTGGTGATGGTTGTACAACTATGAATATATAAATACCCATTGAATTGGGAACTTTAAATGGCTGGACTATATGCCATGTGAGTTATCTCAGTAAAAGGGCTAAAAAAGTTAGCAGGGCATGGTGGTGCAGACCTGTAATCCCAGCTACTTGGCTACTTGGGAGGCTGAGACAAGAGAATCACATAATCCCAAGAGTTTGAGACTATCGTGTGCTATAATCATGCCACTGCACTATAGCCTGGGTGACAGAGCAAGACCCTATCTTAAAAATTTTTTAAGAAGCCAATATGGGCCAGGCGTGGTGGCTCACGCCTATAATCCCAGCACTTTGGGAGGCCAAGGCGGGTGGATCACGAGGTCAAGAGATCGAGACCATCCTGGTCAACAAGGTGAAACCCTGTCTCTACTAAAAATACAAAAATTAGCTGGGCATGGTGATGTGGGCCTGTAGTCCCAGCTACTTGGGAGGCTGAGGCAGGAGAATTGCTTGAACCCAGAAGGCGGAGGTTGTGGTGAGCTGAGATCGTGCCATTGCACTCCAGTCTGGGTAACAACAGCGAAACTCCATCTCAAAAAAAAAAGAAGCCAATTTGGAAGCCAGGAGCAGTGGCCTCCACCTCCTGGTTCAAGTGATTTTCCTATCTCAGCCTCCCGAGTAGCTGGGATTATAGGCACATGCCACCATGCCTGGCTAATTTTTGCATTTTTAGTAGAGACAGGGTTTCATCATATTAGTCAGGCTGCTCTCGAACTCCTGACTTCAGGTGATCGACTCACCTGGGCCTCCCAAAGTGCTGGGATTACAGGCGTGAGCCACAGTGCCTGGCCTAAGTTTTGTATTTTTAGTAGAGGGGAGTTTTGCCATGTTGGCCAGGCTGGTCTCAAACTCCTGATCTCAAGCAATCCACCTGCCTCGGTCTCCCAAAGTGCTGGGATTACAGGCATGAGCCATTGTGCCCAGCCTGATTTCTCACTGTTCTAAACACTAGGAAGGGGGTCCAGCTTTTCCTGAACCCCTGTTTAGAGTCATTCCTGGAAGTAGAAAGGACGTTATAATGAAAAAGTTTTACAGTACTCTCCCTGAGTACTGCCCCTTCCCTTGGGTTAGAGTCAGGATGGTGTCTGGCCCCGGGCAGGCGCAAAGGTATGCTTACCAGGGGAAGTTGGGGCAATGGAGCTTGAACATACTGATTCCAGCCACATATGAGAAATGGAAGCTTCCGGAGTTGACAACCAAGAGAGTCAGATCAACTATGCGGCTGCAAGACAGGGTAGAGAGGGGACGTCACACCTCATGTGCAGTTCTACAGCATAGACACAGGCACTGCCCACCTGAGCCCAGACCCCTCCCCTGTAAAACAAGAATAAGCACTCAGGATGGTTGGAGAAGAAATTGTGGCCAAACATGGCACACAGGACATTCCCAAAATGCTTTTTCATTTCTTTCAAGTCCAGAGTAAATTCCTTCCATCTCTTTGGGTTTGATGACAGGCCATTCCTGTTTAATTTCACTTCAGATCTTGAAATGTCCAAATTCTCAACCTGGAAGATAGAAAAGAAATCTCAGAACAGGTTTGGGAGCCTGAAGAAAGTACCTTATAGAAGAGCCATGAGAATGACGTGACTTTCATTCACTCAGCAGATACATTGGAACCATCTCTTGGGCCCACCTTGAGCTTGGTTAGGGGTACAGAAGATGGGATGTGGGGGTTGGGAACTAAGGAACTAACCCAGCCTGGGGGATGGAGGACTGCCTGGAGGAGAAGGCCAGACCTGAATGAGTCACCCAGGCTAAGTGGGGAGTCAGGAGGTGCAGGCAGTTAGGAAGTGCACTGCAGGCAGAGGGTAGCATGGGGAGCCATGCCCAAAGGGAGATGCAGGAGTGGGACTGGAGATGTGGGAGGGGCCCCCTGGTTTTCCACCTGTCCTTTGGAAGCCCCAGGATCCTGTCTGGTGCACCAAGTCAAGGCTGCCTTGCTTGCCTAATCCAAGAGGGTGGAGCACTTTGGTGCCTTAAATCCCCTCCTGACGCCTTAACCACAAACCCCATTTATCTCCTTTATCTACCAAGACCCTGTCTGCAGAGAGGGTTCTGCTGCTTAAAAACAGAGAGCTGGCCGGGGTAGTGGCTCACTCCTGTAATCCTAGCACTTTGGAAGGCCAAGGTGGGTGGACTGCCTGAGCTCAGGAGTTAGAGACCAGCCTGGGCAACATGGCAAAACCCCATCTTAAGGAAAAAAAAAAAAGCAGAGAGCTGAGAGCGACAGCTGTAGGCCCACGAGAGCCACTGGATCATTCTGAGCAGGGGGCACCCAGGACTGCCTGGAGTGGGGGAGGCTCTCACTGACTGACGTGCAGGCAGCAGAGGGAGGAGGCCAAAGACTCTCAGCAGAGTGTAGACAGGGGGTGACAGGGTCGCCACGGAGCCCACGGTGGTGGCAGTGGTGGAAGTGGCAGCAGGGTTGGTGGCAGGCACAGGCAGATCAACTGATCCTGTTAGATGGGTTCTGCTTTCTTCTTTGTTGGCTTCCTTCCCCTCTTCTTGGTGTCTGCAACAAAAGGTGCCGGTGAGTGCCTACCTTGAAGCCAGAGCAAAGTAGAGTGAGAGCCAAATATAGTGGTTGTGGGTCTTCACACAGTCCCTCCAACAAGAAAGGAAGGGAGGCCCCAAAGAGCACCATGAACAATACCTAGAGTCACTGTTGACAGGGGCCAACGTGCCCCATCTCACCAACCTCATGGGGGAAGGTTACTCTTGTCTCTGCTTACAAGTGGACCTAGAGGCTCCGGCTGTCCAAGCCACAGGCAGGATCCATGCCAGGCTGTCTGACTTCAACGGGAGAATTTCACAGGAAGTGATGGGATGCCAAGGAGGGGTGGGCTTGGTCCAGGCAGGTCAGTCTTCAGCCCACCCCCGAAGCATGGTGAAAAGCTGTGGAGTTGGCCAACACCGGTGCACAGTATCCAGGACTGGAACAGTGAGCCCACCGACCACACCCCACCACAGGGTCATCCTGGGGGTGTGGAAAAGGGCACCTCCTCCATGAGGACACACACATTGAGGAATCCTACAGAGGTGGGCTCAGGGAGGGGATCTTTGAGGGGCGGGAGCCCGGGAGCAGACCCTGACCTCTATGTCACGTCTTCCTCCTGTATTCAGTCTGGCTATTTCTACCCTTCAAAAGTTGGAGGCTACCAGCAAAGTGCATGTTAACAAGCTCCTAATATGGCCCATCAGAACAGCTCATCTATGATGATAGCCACCACCCTGCCTGGCCTGGAGACCAGAGCAACCTAGACCTGAGTTCAAGTTCAGGCTCAACTACTGTGAGCATGCACAGGTTGGCTAACCTCCTTGTGCCTCTATTTCCTTTTCTGTTATTTACAGGGGTAAATAACATCAAAGCTACCTTAGGGGACTACAGGTGCTGTTGTCCAACCATCAGTGGAGGGAGGGCTCACTCTCAGCACCCCAGAAAGTGGGACACCCAGGCAAGCTGGGCCTCCCCATGTGACGCAGAAGTGAGTAGCCCCACACTAGTGTCGTCATCCACGAACACAAATATACTGAAGGAACTGAGCCTGAATCCAATCGAGCTTTAGAGCAACTGTCCAAGAAATACAGGCAGAGGAGGAAGCACTACCAAATTGTAATAGCCGCAAACTCGGAAAGTGGAGCAGGACAGAGGACGACACCAGACAGGCTATCCCTCCTCAAAGGGGACATCAACAGAAGTCGCCAAGGACCCAGGGCCATCCAGTATATACTTGCTGTCCCTGTGTGGCCATATATATGGCCCCCTTTCATTTCATCCTCACGAGTGGCCCAATTTAGACACCAATTATACGATCATCCTAGCTAAAAGGAACCTGAGGCCTAACAGTGAAACATAATGAATGTGTGGGTCTCACTGGGTCCTGAGGTGACAGACCAAGTCTAGAAACACTTTTGTGGCCCATCTAGGAGAGGTGACTATGACCAGCTGATGTCAGAGAACCGTTGTCAATTATGTCAAGTGTATCAGTGACATTGTGATTATGTCAGCAAATGTTTGTTTTTGTAGTTGCTGTCACTTTACAGAGACAGGGTCTCACTCTGTCGCCCAGGCTGGAGCACACTGGTGTGATCATAGCTCACCATGAATTCAAATTCCTGGGCTCAAGCCATCCTCCTGCCTCAGCCTCCCAAGTAGCCAGGACTACAGGCATGGGCCACCACACCTGGCTAGCTTTAAAAAAATTTTTGTAGAGATGGGGTCTTGCTATGTTGCCCAGGCTGGCCTCCAACTCCTAGGCTCAAGAGATCTCTTACTTCCGCTTCCCCAAGTGCTGGGATTACAGGTGTGAGCCACCGCACCCGGTAAGTGTTGTTGTTGCTTTTTTTTTGAGACGGAGTTTGGCTCTTGTTACCCAAGCTGGAGTGCAATGGTGCGATCTCGGCTCACTGCAACCTCCACCTCCTGGATTCAAAAGATTATCTTGCTTCAGCCTCCTGAGTAGCTGGAATTACAGGCTCCTGCCACCACACCTGGCTAACTTTTGTATTTTTAGTAGAGACAGAGTTTGACTATGTTGGCCAGGCTGGTCTCAAACTCCTGACCTCAACTGATGCACCCGCCTTGGCCTCCCAAAGTGCTGGGTTTACAGGCGTGAGCCACTGCTCCCAGCCACACAAGACACTCTTGGGTCAGACACAAAGGACAGTTTATTACAGCAATAGCAGTAGCTAGAGTACCAGCATTTTCTTTCTTTTTTTTTTTCTTTGTGAGACGGAGTTTCGCTTGTTACCCAGGCTGGAGTGGAATGGCACGATCTCCGCTCACCGCAAACTCCGCCTCCTGGGTTCAGGCAATTCTCCTGCCTCAGCCTCCTGAGTAGCTGGAATTACAGGCATGCGCCACCGTGCCCAGCTAATTTTTTGTATTTTTAGTAGAGACGGGGTTTCACCATGTTGACCAGGATGGTCTCGATCTCTTGACCTCGTGATCCACCTGCCTCGGCCTCCCAAAGTGCTGGGATTACAGGCGTGAGCCACCGTGCCCGGCCCAATGTTGCTTTTTTTTTAAGTGCCAAACATAGGGGCAGAGACAAACCACAGGGCCACACCAAGGACATGGTTGGTCAGTGCCAGGACTGTCTCAGTTTTTTTTTTTGAGTTGCGTTTTCTGGGTTGCTTGAGCCAGGCCCTACCTGCAGGCCTTCATCCACACTCCAAACACTCACCAAGGTGAGCAATGAGGGCTCTCTGTCTCAAAAAGGTGGCCCACCTTGCTCAGGATCACACAGCCAGGAAGTAGCAGAGCTGAAGTCAGTCTCTTAACTAAAGAATCTAGCTAGGGGCAGCGCCTCTCCGTCTCCCAGGTTCAGATTTCCCAGGCCCCTTCCCGCTCTGGATAAAACGTGGTTCAAGGAGGGCAAATCCAACGGGAAGAGTGGAGGTGGTCACCTGGCCCTCCGACTGGCTGCACTGGACTCAGAAACCCACAGGGCCCAGCACCGGCAGAGATTGAGCCTCACTCCAGGAGTAGAGGTGCACGCGGTGGATACTCCGCTTCAGCTGTTCCACCCGCTCTCCAGGGCACCCATGCTGTTGCAATGATTTAGCTCCCCCTGGACAGCACAGAAGAACTTCACCTGCAACAAGATTGGGAGAGGCAGGGCAGCGGGAAGTCCAGTGCGTGAGATGCCTGGCTGCTCCACTCCCCAGCCTGTGCAGCCTCGGTTTGTGGTAGATCCTACCCTACAGCCCTAGTTACGCCAACTACGACCTCCCCACCCCACCCCCAGCCCCAGGCCTCACAGCTCCAACGGTCAGAGCTCTGCCCTTGGGGATGGCGGATCCGGGTAGTGACAGTTTCCGCCCAGCCCGTCCCACGCCCCACCCGGAGTGAAGAGCGGATTCCCTGTTGTTCCAATTCAGCCTGCTTGCCCTTGAGCACCATCCTCTCCGCCAGCGACGGTTGCTGTCGAAGCTGCGGAAGAGGCGGCGCAGCGCCGGCTGGGTGTAGGTGTCCGCCTGCCTCTGGAAGTACCCCCCCGCTCGCCGAAATCTGCCGGCAGAAGGTCACGCTTTGCGAGACCTCGCTGTGAGCTCGTGAGGATGTCCGTGGGTGAGCGCGGCTGGCGGTACGGGAGGCCTGGGGGCGAAGCAGGCGTCGGGGCGGGGCTCTCGGGGGTCTGGGCCTGCCGACCACCTCACCGCCCCAGGGCCGGGGCGCGGGGTCGCTAGTGGGCTGCCGGGACCGTCGAGCGGGGCTGCGAGCGCGTTCCCGCGGCGCAGACGGGACTCCCTAGCCAATTGCAGCTGCCTCGCCGCGGCGCCCCAGCCAATCAGCGCCGAAGCCGGGGGCGGGACTAACCCCTGGGCGCCTCCGGCCCCTGACAAGGTTCGCGACCTGGCGGGGGCGAACGCGGCTGCGCAGGTCCTGGCCCAGTTACGCAGGGGCCGTCGGACCTGCGATCCGGTCGGGCTCTTGGTCAGCAACTTCCTTAAGGCTCACACCTTTCGGCCGGCCTCCAGTCCCCTCCGACGGGCGTACTTCCTCGCGGTCTGTAGCCTCTTGGGCTTCAAGCCGCGCTTCCCCCTCACCCAGGCAATGCCCGGAGAACTTCACTCCTCCCCTTAGCTCTGGACTTCTCGCCTTGCTCCTTTTTTTTTTTTTGGTAGAAATAGGGTCTCACCATGTTGTCCAGGCTGGTCTTAAACTCCTGAGCTCAACCAATCCACCTGCCTCGGCTTCCCAAAATACGGAGATTACAGGCATGAGCCACCACACCTGGCCAATTAAAATAAATAAATAACAGGCGGGGCGCAGTGACTAACGCCTATAATCCCAGCACTATAGGAGGCCAAGGCGGGCAAAGCACCTGGGGTCAGGAGTTCAAGACCAGCCTGGCCAACATGGAGGAAACCCTGTTTCCACTAAAAAATAAAAATAAAAAATTAGCTGGGCGTGGTGGTGCGCTCCTGTAGTCCCAGCTACTTGGAGGCTGAGGCAGGAGAATCGCTGGAAGCCAGAAGGCAGAGGTTGCAGAGAGCCCAGATTTCTGCACTGCACTACAGCCTGGGCAACATAGCAAAACTTCCTCTCAAAAATAAATAAATAAATAAATAACAGGCTAGGTGTAATGGCTCATGTCTGTAATCCCAGCACTTTGGGAGGCTGAGAATGGCAGATCATTTGAGCTCAGGAGTTCAAGACCAGCCTGGAGAACATGGCAAGGCCACATCGCTATTTAAAAAAAATACAAGGCTGGTCACGGAGGCTCACGCCTGTAATCCCAACACTTTGGGAGGCCGAGGCGAGTGGATCATGAGGTCAGGAGATCAAGACCATACTGGCCATGTGAAACCCCGTCTCTACTAAAATACAAAAAATTGGCTGGGCGTGGTGACGTGCGCCTGTAGTTCCAGCTACTCAGGAGGCTGAGGCAGGGGGAATCGAAGCCGGGAGACAGAGGTTGCAGTGACCTGACATCGTGCCACTGCACTCCGGCCTGGGTAACAGAGCAAGATTCCATCTCAAAAAAAAAAAAAAAATACAAAATTTAGCCAGGCGTGGTGGTGCACGCCTGTAGTCCCAGCTATTTGGGAAGCTGAGGTGTAAGGATAGCTTGAGCCTGGAAGACAGAGTTTACAGTGAGCTGAGATTGTGCCACTGCACTCCCACCTGGATGACAGAGCCAGACCCTGTTTGTTTCAAACAACCAACCAAAAAAATAACCTAACCCCCAAAATAAAAATAATAATAAAAAAAAAGAAATAGGGCTGGGCACGGTGGCTCATGCCTGTAATCCCAGCACTTTGGGAGGCCGAGGCGGGTGGATCACGAGGTCAAGAGATTGAGATCATCCTGGACAACATGGTGAAACCCCATCTCTACTAAAAATACAAAAAATTAGCTGGGCATGGTGGGATTACAGCTGAGTGCCTGTAATCCCAGCTACTCAGGAGACTGAGGCAAGAGAATTTCCTGAACCCAGGAGGTTGTGGTGAGCCGAGATCGCGCCATTGCACTCCAGCCTGGGTAACAAGAGCGAAACTCCGTCTCAAAAAAAAAACAAAAAAAAAAAAACCAGAAATAAAGAAATACCATGGGCCTGTTGGGAGGAGATATGCAGGAAGTGGATGGGGAGACACTTCCCTACCTGCTTCAATGGGCAGATCTACTTGTGTCATTTATCAGATTTGAAGAAGGACATTGATTTCATAAAGGGTTGTGCTCCTTAAAACAAGTTTGAGAACCGCTGGGTTGGAGGCCCTCTTGCCCATTATGTGTGCACACACACAAACCCCATCTCATACTTCATGACTTCCCTGGTCTGGAGAGAAGGTGATATGTCCCCCTTACATCTCAGTTGGCCCCACGTTGCCAGCCCTATATCTACTTTGCCTGTCTCTACAGCTCCAGTCTATGACCTTTGGGCCATGGAGTCTGGATTCCTGGGCATCCTGGTTCACATCCCTCTCCTGCCAATCCTGCCAATCTGGCCTGGCTCCACCTCTTTCTGCTCTGCTACCAAAGCCCCAAGCTTTGTAGAGCCTGCCTGTCCTCGAGGAGGGGAATGGACTCCATCCTCAAAGCCTGAGATAGGTTTAGGCTTCCCATCCTCCGTTGCTACAGTAGCTTCGGCTTTTCATTCCATATCCTTCATTTTTATTTATTAAAAACTTTTTTTTTTTTTGGTAGAGACAGGGTCTTTGTATGTTGCCTGGGCTGGTCTTGAACTCCTGATCTCAAGTGATCCTCCCACCTCAGCCTCTCAAAGTGCTGGGATTACAGACATGAGCCACCACACCCAGCTGCATATTTCTTATTTTTGTTTTTATGTGTTTTCTGTCTGTTCTTTGCTGTCTCCTCCATGTTTAGAACAGTGCCTGGCACATGATAGGTGCTTAGTAAATACATGACTGAAGACGACAGGCAAACAGGCCAGATGTGGCTGCTGCCCTCAGGGAACTGACAGTCCGTGAGCAAAGAGAATAAGCTCATCCCAGCATGAGCTCATCCCAGCATGAGCTCACCATGCTGCTGCCTTCTCCTGGTCCACCTTTCTCATCTATCAAATGAAAGTTAAGCTGGATGTGGTGGCTCACACCTGTCATCTCAGCACTTTGGGAGGCCAAGGGGGGTGGATAACTTGATGTCAGATCAAGACCAGCCTGACCAATATGGTGAAACCCCATCTCTACTAAATAATACAAAAATTAGCCAGGCGTGGTGGAGGATGCCTGTAATCCCAGCTACTCAAGAGGCAGAGGCAGGAGAATTGTTTTAACCCAGGAAGCAGAGGTTACAGTGAGCTGAGATTATGTCACTGCACTCCAGCCCGGGTGACAGAACAAGATACCATCTCTAAATAAATAAATAGCAAATGAAAGTGATAGAATACATAAATGGTTTTCAAACTGGGTTCCTCAGGGCTCAGTTTGAGGAGGATGCAAAGGTTAAATACAAATAACAATGGAATGTATAACATTGGTGCTTGGGCAAGTGCTTTGGGTGAGAGAAATGTCGTGCTGATGGGGAGAAGAGCTGCATCAGAGCAGGCTTCCTGGATGAGGCAAGGAGGAAACACAAGAGCTGAGAGCTGAAGGAGAGGGAGTGAGGGCTGTCCAGAGAAGCTGAGAGGCTATTTCAGGCAGTGGGAACTGGAGCTGCAAACCCCTAGGTCCCCGCAGTCTGGCTCTCTGTACCAGCCCTCGCCCATGCCCACCACCCTTAGGGCAGGCACATCCCTTCTGGCACTGATATTGGCCAGTCCCATTATGACCCTCATTTGAAGGCACACGGAGGACTGGAGCTCAGAGAGGGAGGGTCTCCCGGCCTGACTCTAACCAGCTGAGTTCCAGTGGAGTTCCTTCCATCCCCCAGCACTAGATGGGGCTGGATACCTGGAGAGGGACTGTGCTGCTCTTCCTGCAGTCTGCCCTGCTGGTCCATATCTTCCTGGGCCAGGAAGGCAGCCTTGTGCTAGCTTCTAGCTCTCTGGTTGGGGCCCTCTGGCCTGCTGGGCTGGACTCCTGCCCTGGTTGCCCTGGCCCAGCTCCCCAGCTCATACCCCTCTGTCGCAAGTGGTCAGCCCCTTCCCACCTGCCCTTTTTTTTGAGACGGAGTTTCGCTTTTGTTACCCAGGCTGGAGTGCAATGGCACGATCTTGGCTCACCACAACCTCTGCCTCCCGGGTTCAGGCAATTCTCCTGCCTCAGCCTCCTGAGTAGCTAGGATTACAGGCACGTGCCACCATGCCCAGCTAACTTTTTGTATTTTTTTTAGTAGAGACGGGGTTTCACCATGTTGACCAGGATGGTCTCGATCTCTTGACCTCATGATCCACTCACCTCAGCCTCCCAAAATGCTGGGATTACAGGCTTGAGCCACTGCGCCCGGCCCCCACCTGCCCTTTACAAGCCTCATCCTTGAATCCTCCTCACAGCCAGGGAGACTGGTACTATCCTTTCCAGAAGAGGAAACTGCCCAGTCACACAGGGACTTATGTGCAGGTCTGTGTGAGCTGAGTCTGGGCTCTGAATTGGTGCTTGCAGGGTCTCACCCGCTGGCTCTGGAAGCCTGAATGTTATAATCCCGGGGCCTTTGGACAAGCAGGCGCTGCTTCCCGAGGACCTCATTGCTGCTGGCAGCGTCTCTGTTTCCCAACTCCCCACTGCTGCCAGGACAGACCTATCTTCTGTCTTCTGGCACCTCCATTTCTCTTCCTTTTGGATCTATTTCTTTTTTTTTTTTTTTTGAGATGAAGTCTTGTTCTGTCACCCAGGCTGGAGTGCAGTGGCATGATCTCAGCTTATTGCAACCTCTGTCTCCTGGATTCAAGCAATTCTCCTGCCTCAGCCTCTCAAGTAGCTGGAATTACAGGAGCATTCCATCATGCCCTGCTAATTTTTGTATTTTTGGTAGAGATGGGGTTTCACCATGTTGGTTAGGCTGGTCTCAAAATCCTGACTTCAGGAGATCCACCTGTTTGGCCTCCCAAAGTGCTGGGTTTACAGGCATGAGCCACCGTGCCCGGCCTGGATCTGTTTGAATTACCCTCCTTCCTCTGCAGCCTGAAGCTTGAGGCCTCACCCATTTCCCAAAGGCACTAGTAGCAGTGACCATTTGTTCTGTCATTTGGCCATAGATCTAGGTCAGAGGACAGTCGTTCATCAAATGTTTGTTGAGCATCCAATCTGGCCAGGGCATGACAGGAGCCAAGTAGTGTGTTAATTTCTTCATTCACCAAGAACAGAGAAGGGAGTAGAAGGAAGGTGGAAGGGTAAG